AGACTGTATTTTGTCCAATGCTCAAAGGCCCATCTTTGACCTGGACCCGGGGCCCAACAAAAAATCCAGCACAAAAATCTGTCCGTGTCTCCATCCGGCGGGACCCCTGGCATCGGTCCTCCTGCAGGGGCCGGGGGGAAAGCCCTGGGCCCCTTCCTCACCTCGCTTCCCCACGTGGGATCATATTCAAAGCAGACTAATAAAGCCGTGGCTGTGTTTTAAAAAGAGGGTGTCTCGGTGGCTCCGCGGGTTTAGAGGCAGCTTGTATGTTTTCGGCTGGGCTAGGAAGAGGGGTGCATCGTGTGCAGGACTCAGCACTGCGCTGGGTTCCAGGCTTGCCCGTGGCAGACCAGGCCTGGGTTACTTAGCGGAGGGGTTGGGTTCCCACAACCAACTGGTCAGGGAAAGACCCAGCGACTGGATTCACGCCCCCTTGGAAGCTTGGTTGGTTTTTTAAGCCAGTTCTGCGGCTGCGCGGCTGATGCAAAGTTGGCCTGTTGGTTTCTAGTTTCGGGTTTGGCCCATCGTGTGAACGCAGGCCACAGCCCGATTCAACAGGTGAAGCACCCTGGGCAATGCAGGAATTCCACCCCCCATTGAAGAGAGAGAGGACGCATTTTTGGACCAACCCGGAACAAGATGGCTCGGAACGCCTTCTGAACTTAGAACAGAATTCGCGTCGCCCAGCTGACCTGCTTTTTATTTTAGTATAACTGCCAGCATACAGATTTTATTCCTGGTTTTATTTATTGTTGTGAAAACTCCATTTTCCATTTGACGGCACGACAGTCCCAGTCCCCAGACTGTTAAGAACACTGAAATGACCATAACTCTACTTTGGAGAGAGACAATTCTGCTTATTCAACCCCAGATGCAGGAAAACATATTTCTGGTTGCAAAAGTTCTTTCCCCCTCCCTAATAAAAGAGGTCCAGGTGCAGATCGGAATAAACCAAATTTTTCCAGCTTGGCAACCTCTAGAGCAGTGTTTCTCAACCTTGACCTCTTTAAGATGGGTGGACTTCAACTCCCAGAATTCCCCAGCCAGCCAT